ATCTATCGTATCGATCCGCCTCCTCCTCGAATATTTATTTCCCGATCGTTAACAAAAAAAAAAAAAAAAGAAAAAAAAGAAGAAAAAGCAAAAATTACGAGATACCATAGGAGCCAAGCGGAGGATCGTTCCTCCCTCTCTCTCTCTCCCTCTCTCTTTTCCGCATCCATATTAATTCGGCGATATTAATCAAGCAGCGAGTTCTCGCGTACAAAGGCTTACCAATGTAAGCGCAGTAGGAACCTTATTGTTTTCGTACCCTCCGGTTTAATATCGACGTGCCCTGTGACGCAATGCGTGTATACACTCTGGTTGCACATCACGCTGCACACGCACACACACCGCGCGTAGACGAGCGGCTCTCGAGCGCGCAAATATTCTGAAAACTTCTCGTTCTCGAGCAGAAACTTTCGCGTATATGTATACATGGTATAGACGTGTGCGGAGGAACGGAAGGATCACAAAGGGTTTCTCGTTGCGAGGCAGAGCGGTAAAAGCAGGTGCCGGAGTTTGGAAAGAGAGTCGAAAAGAGTTCGACGTGGCTGTCGACGGGGGATCTGCAATCACCGCCGTCCTTCCCGGCCATAGTCTGCCTTTTTGCCTCACGTGTATACGTGGGAGCTATACCATCGACTACTTCCACCGCCTCTTTTTCTTCTCCCGCTCATTGTTTCTTCGCCGTTCGTTCACGGCTGTCGTGCGCGAGGACTCCCGAGGAGATTGGGGGGGGGGGTTCTCTCTCTCGGTTCGAGGGGGGGTCGATTGGGATCGATGCGGATCGATTCGATTCGATCGCGTTTTCTTTTAAATTATACACGATGGAAAATGGTATTTGGAATATAATGGTATTTGTACCTCCTTGTGCTAGCTTATTCCAGAAGGAATTTATCGTTTATCGATATCGTACGGGTTGTCCTATCTTCTCACGAGACAAATGATGCTTCTTCTATTTTGTCTTCTTTTTTTTTTATCATTAATTTTTCGTTATATAATTATAATTTGACTTCTACTTTTTCATGTAGAAGAATTTTTCATAAACGTGATTAGGGTCTTAATGTTGAGAATACAATTTAATTGTCTTCGTTATTCAATTTTCAGAAAAAAATGATTAATTCAATGCTTTCTTCCGTGCTTGTACCGTGTTTCAATAAGAATTTTCGTTACTAACACGATACGGGCCTAAAAAACGAGCTCTCTGACTTGAGAAATAAAATAAAACGCTTAAAGTTGGCAATGCGTTCAATGCCAACTTTGCGATTTGTCAGAAGAAGAAGAAAAAAAAGAAGAAAATTGAAAATACAAATATGAAAGTCCACCCAGTGAAAAAATTGAGATTAAAAAATTGGACGAGATTTCCCACTGTAAGCAAGTGTTTGGCCGCGTTCCCACAGGCACCGCGGGGGCCTCCCGCTATTTTCTTAATCTCGACGCTCGCGGAGGCGAGACAAACGACGAAAAAACACAGGGAGGGCCCAGGATGCCCGCGGTGCTCGTCCAAGGCGGGCTACCCCTTCTCACCCCTTGTATACAAACCCCCCTATTGGAATGATTCGTCGGTTTCGAGAATCGGTTCGAGAACGTCGCCTCCCTTTTCTTCTCTTCCGCTCTCCTTTTCTTCTCTTTTTCCCTTATTTTTTTAATTTATTTCTCTTCTTCTCCTTTTTTTTTCTTTGCGTATTTTTTAGCCTTTCGCCTCCTTGTTGCCGTTCTCAGCATCCCCCTCTCACGACTCGAACGCCTGGGAACCTGGTGAAATTTCTTCTTTTTTTTTTTTTTTCTTCGTTTCGAATTTGCCTCGTGACAAATTGAGAGTCGCCATATTAGACCGTGTATATAAATAGGGTCGCTCGATGTAAATCGTCGGTTTTGTTTTCAGTCTTGGTCATTTGTGATGTTGATTGAGACTGGAATCGGAAATTAGAGAGAGAGAGAGAGAGAGAAAAGGAGAGAAAGACGATCCGTTGAACATCCTTATTCGATTATTGTTAAAAAAAAACGTTGGAATAGAATAGAAGGAGAGGGAAAAAAAGATAATTTGCAATTTGTTTCTTTTTTCTTTTTTTTATCGTTTGTCGAAGAGGAGAAAAAGTAAAGTAAAGTCTCGTTTTATCGTTGATACAATCATCCGTAGTACTCGCACAGGATGTTCGCGTATTAAATTCCCTGGTAAAAAGATTGTTGGCCTGTTCGCAAATGCAAAGTTACGTTTATCTCGAATCTCGAACGCGGATAATTGACAAAGCCGCAACAGCTGCAACGCCACCGCCATCTTCTTCCATTGTTTCTTCAGGGTGTGTGCGCGTTTATAACGAAACGATCGATCTTGCGGAAATTTAATTTATTTTAAAAAACCGAGTATAGCGTTACGAACGCTTTTTGTATAAATATTTTATCGTTTCATCTCTCCTCGAATAGGTGAAACAATATAATACGCGTCTTATACGTAATGTATAAAGGAAACTGCAAAATCCTTCTTCCTCTTTGATAAATAATTGAATAATCCAAAAAAAAGGAAAAAAAAAAAACTCACCCAAGTTTAACCTCGCTGAATTAAAACCTCCTCCTTGATTCCATATCCAACCAGTAGTCAGCGGAGCATGATCGTTCGAAATAAATATAAATTCTCCCACAGAAACTTAATTCTCAATTAATAGCAGGAAACAATGCGATAACCATTCCACCCGGAATCAGACTGGTCACTCTCTTTTCTTTAAAAAATAACACCTCTCCTCGATGAAAACTCTCCGCCGTTGGACGGACAGAGAAGAAGAAGAAGAAGAAGAAGAAGAAGAAGAAGAAGAAGAAGAAGACTGCTCTATGATCGTCTTTGTCGTGGCGGGGGAGGGAGTGAAAAGTGGCGGAGGTTACTTCCGGAAAAATTAATATCTCGTGGGAAGGGACGGTGCACCGGCTGTTGGCTCAAGTGCAGACGTCTCTCCCTTCCCCTGTGACGAGAATCGCGGGGGCAGGGGGGCCAGTCGGGTAACTTTGTTTTCCGAAAGCGGCTCTCCCTTCCACCCCCGTTCCCCCTTTCTCCATTCCGCCTCGCCTATTCCCTTTTGTTACACACGACGGTGGATAACCGGCGTGGAAACGGATATCTTTCGAGAGGAGAATTTAGCAGAGAGAGAGAGAGAGAGAGAGTAAACAAAGAAAGTGGGAGGATGCGAAACGACCACAAATTCGATTCGCCCCTTCAAGAGATTCGAGGCAGGAAGTTTAATTGGTCTTGACCGGTCCGAGTAATTGGCAATTGATCCGAGAATTCGGTTTCTTCGACTCGATTCGTGGCCACGAATCTTGGGAAGCTCCACTTCGAGATCCGGAAGAGAGGAGGAGAGGCTCGTGGCCCTCGTTTAAATGGAAACTTTCGATCCCTTGTACACGCGTGAAGAAGAAGAAGAAGAAGAAAAGCTTGGAATTGTTTTTCGATCGTACGAAAAGTATATAATTACAACGATTTCGAATGAAAATTTGTCTTAATAAATAATCGTATTCTTCGTAGAATTAAACATTATATTTCACAACTATCGTAAATGATGCACGACAAATGGAACGAGTTATCGTTCTTAAACGAACGAAATTCTATTCTCTCTCTATCTCCCTCTTTCTCTCTTCTTTTCTTCTATCTTTTTCCCAATTTGATCGCTAGGCGGAGGATGAAGGGGAGGGGCGGAGGGGAGGAAGAAAACTGGCCGCGGCGCGGCGCTAGTTGCGGTGCGCAAGAATGAAAAGCGCGAGGAGGAACGAGGAGAGAAAGGGAGAACAACATTCGGGCTGGTCGGAGCCGTTGGCCGTAGAATTTCGTGGAGGATCCTCCTGACGAGGGATTGGTTGTGTGCCGGAGTGAACTTATGAAACGGCCAACCTCGCCAGACTCGGGCGAGATATTAAATTTCTAGAATTTTGCGGTTAGGCGCGTCGACATGCCAACCAACACACATCCGCGTTTCTGCGCTCTCTCTCTCTCTCTCTCTCTCTCTCTCTCTCTGTCTCTTTCGCTCTCGCTCGTTCGCTCGCGTCCACGTGCCGTGGCTAAGAAAATTCTTTCGCAGGATTTCTCCCATTACCTTCTCTCGATACCACCGCCTCCCTACTTCTCCCTAGTCTTCTCTCTATTCTCGTTTATAAGTGTGTACGTGCGGAACGTAACTCGAATAAAGGCGGCTCGTTTGATTCGAGACTTTCATGGTTGGTGGTGTATATGGGCGGTTCAAGTATGCGGGTATATACGTAATGTAACTTCTCGTAATCGATTTCTCTCTCTTTGTTTGTCGTTTGGGAGGGAAAAGAGGAATTAATAACTGTGGTTATCCTGCCTCGATATTTATAGCTTGTTGTAATCGATCGAAGAGATCTAGAAACGAGGACAATTAAATATATTTAAATAATTAAGATCATACACATACAGGGAAGGAGAGGATTTTCTATATTCTAAATTAGCGGTATTAGTATTACCGATTAACGAAATTGTCACTTTGAATGCATCGTTAAATAACGGATATATATATATATATAAGGATACGTCTTTGGCGAGGATATATCTTTCTCGGAGATTCTTGGAGATTTTGTAATATAAAGTTAAAAAGAATAACCGATCGTTTACAATAATCTTTATTACTTACTTAACCCGAAATACAATTCGTCTCTTCCTATCTACACTTACTTACATTACCGATCACTTCTGATCCTCCAAGATGTAAACGGATAATCGAATATCGATTCAACCTTCCGTTTCTTCTTCGTCTTCCTTATTGCAACGTGAGCAAATATCTGGACTCACCGGCGGCCGGCTGGTAACCGGACAACGGAAGCACGGAGGCCGGATTGTCGTACTGGTACTGGACTTGGGCGGCGGGGGCAGGCTCGATCTCGAGTTTTTGCGGTTTCGTTTGGGGCGCGATCGGCGCAACGGCCAGCTGGAGACCGGCCGGGAAAATTTGCAACTTTTGGAGGGGCGCGTAGGCGTAGATCGGGCCGCGGAGCGGTTCCACGTTCTCGGCCCGGATCTTGGCGAAATACTTCATCGCCTCGACGTTCTGACGGCTCACGTAGCGGACGCGCTGCAGACGGCCGTCAGGCAGCGCCACGTAATACTCGCCGGACTGTTGGGGCTGTTGCTCGTCCACCTCCTCGTCCTCGAGCTCGTTCACCGAGTTGACGGGCTCGGACTGGAAACGAAGAAAACTTGGTAGCGAAAAACTTGGTGGAAAAAAAATGGAGAGTTCTGTGATAATTTGAGGAATGGAAGTTGGACAGAGATATTTGTTGAAATTATTAATAATTTGAGAGAGGAAGAAAATGAATCAAAGGGAAGAGATATGAGAAATTGATTGGAGATGATTAAGATGGAATTTTAAAAGAAGAGATTAATTCTTTTCCAAAAGGGGGGAGAATTTGCTATTAAAAGAAAAAAAAAATTGCAAAAGAGAAATTATCGTTCGTGGAAAAAAAAATTAGAAAATCTCGAAAGATTTAAACTTATATATAATAATCGAAAAAACTTTGAAAAAACTTTTCCAAACTATTCTCAAATAAAAATAAAATAAAAATAAATATATATATAACCAGGATGATCCGAAGGATTGAAATCACCGCATCACGGATTGTGTCACCGCCGCGTTCGAATTTGGTAGGAGCGTGCGCGTGCCTGCACACCGATCGAAAGTAAACGGCGAGTCGAATACTAATGTCGTTAGAAGACGGGCGAAAAAAGGAAGAGAGAGAGAGAGAGAAGAGGGGAAAAACGATTCTCCGGGGCGAGATTTAAAATTCCGTGGAAACCTCGCTTCTCGTGCACCTCCTCGTGCCAAACGGACCACCGCTCTCCTTCTCTCTTTCTCCATCCTCCCTTGTAACAAATAACACGATAACAAGTGCGATAACACGGTGTGTTTCAACAACCGATCCACGAAATTCCGACTTATTCTATTTCCTCTCTCGAATCTTTCGTATCTGCCCCTCCCCCTTTCAATCCACAGATCCGAAGAAGGATCCTCTCCCGGTGAATTCGTGTTTCGAAACTTCGTTTGTTTCTTTCTTAAAACTCTCTTACCTCGGACTCGACGCCTGCGACAGTGGTGGCATCTTCCGCCTCCGTGGTGTTAGGCGCTTCGGTAGTCGTGGTAGCTTCCTGCGGTGGCCCGTACTGTTGCTGAGGAACCGTTGGTGCGCCATATTGTTGTTGAGGCGCGCTGGGTGCGCCATACTGTTGTTGAGGCGCGCTGGGTGCGCCATACTGTTGTTGAGGCGCGCTGGGTGCGCCATATTGTTGTTGAGGCGCGCTGGGTGCGCCATATTGTTGTTGAGGCGCGCTGGGTGCGCCATATTGTTGTTGAGGCGCATTAGGCGCTCCGTATTGTCTCTGAGGTAGATTGAAAGCCGGTCCATTCGGTCTCCATCCGGAAGGTGCGTAGGGGGCGTTGGAAACGGTGGTGGTGGGCTCCTCCTGTTGTCTAGCGAAGAAGAATTGCCTTTGGGGACGGTATCTTGGTGGCTCTGCGGCGACCGCAGCGATCAGAAGAGCGAAAGCGATGAATCCCTGTTTTTTTTTTTTGGAAATGAAACGTTGGAAATGAACGAACGTCGTCTCTTTCGTGTTATATACGATAATATATTTAAAATATATTTGAATTATTTATACTTTATAATAATATACTTATAGCGTTTACTGGAATTTAATTTTTTTTTTTTTTAATTCGAAAAGTGATAAATATCCGATCGATCTATTCGTACGAAATTGAAAAATTTGGAAAAATTTGCTCTTGTGTCTCTCGCTTCGTTATATTGTTTTAGGAGATTAGATAAAAAAGAAGAATATTACGTAGAAATTTAATTTTCGATTTCGTTTGTTTCGATTGTATCGGTCTACCTTCATTGTTGTACCGGTAAGTGACACGGTTGAGTTGTCGAGTCGACTGATTTCCGAAGTCGACCAGCTTGGATTATATACACCGGGTTTCGTATGCGGTCTGCATGTTTAAGAAGATCCGTGGAGCGACATTGACCTCCTAAAACACTGATGAATCCTCGATCGTGATTGTTGGCTCACCATCCGGTCGCGTTTTACCTTCGCCTTTTTTTCTCTCTCTCTTTCGGCGCTTCGAGACACGTACTAGACATTTCTCTTTCGTTCGTTCCTTCTCTGCTTCTTCCAATAGATAAAGAAATAATCTCGAACAAGTTGAGTTTCAACAATAATACACGTCGTTTGTCATCAAAATTTTCATTCGTCCCGCAGCGTTCGTTGCGAGTAACAAACACGCCGGCGTAACAGTCATCCAAAAATAATTCGGGAACAATAAATTTCTCGACTCGATACCACGTTTTGTAAAATCAAATTTTTCACAATATATCCTCTCGTTACCAGAACGAGTAGAAAATTATTCGATCAATTTCACGACGTATCGAAAAGATAACCGACAATCTTTCTTTCGAACGCAATTTCGACGAATCGAAGGAAATATCGAAATACAAATGCCGATAGAACGATGCGTGTAAAAACAAAGGCTTTCTAAGGCCTTCTCATTCTCATTCCGCGTAAATCCGAATCGTCTCGCATTGTCCGTTTCGTCCATGGCCGATTCTCGTTCCGTTCGATCGAGCAACGATCGTCGTACGAACAATCGTTGCGATTACGCGCCGATTACGCGCCGATTACGTGGCGCGCGTACATTTTTAATAAACACGTCTCGATCGTGACTCTGATATTTTTCGCTAATAAATTCAACCGTTGTTCCCGATCGAGGCAGGGGAGGGAAAAAGGAGGGTGGAGGGTGGGGATCAGGGTCGAGCGTGCGATCATCACTCGGAATTTATAATGGCAGATACAATTCTGTCAGTGATTCACGCGATATTTCGCGTGGAGGAGGAGGAGGAGGAGGATCTCGAGGCGATGAAATTCCTCGCGTAAAAACTCGGACGCGAGTGGATTTTTAATCTTGTTTCTTTTCTTCTTCTTCTTCTTCTTCTTTTTCTTCTGTAATAATCTGGTTCTCGAGTCGGAGAATTTGCTAGGCTCTTTTATTTTACAATCTTGTTTCCTTTCCTTGTTTGTAAACGATAATTTGCGAGGAGGATCATCTCGTAGAAATTCGTAATCATATTATTTTTTTTTTTTCTTTTGGAATAATGATTGGAATTGAGAGAATTTGTTAGATTCTTTTGTTTTCAATCTTGTTTCCTTTTCTGTTTGTAAGTGGTTTTGTAC